TCTAGTATAGGTATGAGTCAAGCGGAAAAAGTCAGATAATGTGATGTTAGGAAAACGATCCCTCAAATATGTATTTTAATGTTGTTGTTTCTTTCATGCATGTGTTTCTAACGCATTTATAAGGTTATTTCTTTGTTGCTTTGTATGTCCCTCCCCCACAGTGTAACCCCCGCTTTCACTATATTTGATGTCAGTATAACATGTGGAGGAGATGGGGACAAACAAGTCGTTTAAGGATTCAGGTGGACCTGTTGCAACAATGAGAAGTACAAAATGTCATGTCAAAACCAGCTTTACAATGTCGGTGTGGGGGGGGGGGAGGGGGGGTATGATTGGATGGGGGGGAGGGGAGAGGCTGGGAAGGGAGGTGAAGGGTAAACAAAGGAGGAGGCTGCAATGCTTGGTAAGAAATGTATGCATTATCCTGCCCATGTAATTGTAACCCCTCTGTACAGTATGTTCTCAAATAAAATAAAATAAAATTTAAAAAAATAAAAAAATAAAAAAAAAGGTTCTTTAAATTCTTTTGTGTGTCACACTGTGGGACCCATAGGATTCATTTCCTTTAGCCATTAAGAGGAAATAGCTTAAGAGGATTATTATGTGTGTGTGTATTGATACACAAGGTAACAATTTTAACTGATAGTGTTTTCCTTATTTGTTGTAAATTGTTTTCCATGTTTAGCAAGCATAAAGGACTTCATGGTTAATATTTTGCATGTTAACTTTAGCCCAATTTCATTACATTTTTCTGCTATTTCCTCTTTGCTCTGATTTCCTAACACATATATATTCATACTTAGATGTATATATATTGATTATGCTGTATATGCTTTCGAGAATATAGCCTTTGAAATAATGGCATTCATAGACGGACCTATGAGCAAGGTTTAGCCTGATAATCATCTCTGGGTTTCTTAATCTCTCTAGTCCTGACCTTTGCCATAGCCTTGATCTGCAGTGTGGTCCCAGTGTAATTAATAAACTTGCTTTCCTGGATTTTTCCTTCTTCTCATCTCCTAGTTTTCAGAATGAACAATTTAGTGTTTTTAATATTATGGTTTTAACCCATTCATTTGTTTCAATGAATTGCAGATCTTTTACTGATGTTTGTGATGCTTTGACCAATAGGAGAGGTTTCTGTTTCCCTCCTGAATCCTTTGATCACCTCTCCCCTCGCCTCCCCACCATGGATAAAGTCTTGCCACTATCATGACATGTTCCAGGCTTATCTTCCAGATTTCCTGCATCAGACTAAATTCAGCCTTTTCTATAATGTGTTCTAATTGCTTGCCATGGAGAATGGGACTTTAGGAATGCTTATGACAGTAGCAGTTGTCACTGTTTCTAATCTCTTTATAGGTAGACAGAATTAGTTCTCTCTGAAGAAGAAATAAGAATGGCCAACAAACACATGAAGAATTGTTCAACATCTCTCACTATAAAACAAATGAAAATCAAACCAACATTGAGGTTCCACCTCACTCCACTTAGAATGGCCATTACCAAGAAAATGGCCAAAATGGGAATGCTACTACACTGTTGGTAGGATTGTAAATTTGTTCGACCACTCTGGAAAGCAGCATGGAGGTTCTTCAAAAGATTAAACATAGAGCTCCCCTATGACCCAGCAATCCCATTCCTGGGCATTTACCCAGATGGCCACACTAAACAAGGCCACACTAAAGCTACCAGCACAACTGTGTTCATTGCAGCATTATTTACCATAGCTAAGATATGGAACCAACCCAGATGTCCCTCATTAGATGAATGGATCAAGAAAAATACACACACACACACACACACACACACACACACACACACACACACACACACACACACACCCCACACTGGTGTTCTATGATTCCATTGGAAAGAATGACATCACTCCATTCATAAGAAAATGGAAAGACTTGGAAAAAAGCATATTAAGTGAAGTAAGCCAGACCCAATGAAACACAGGCTCCATCGTTCCCCTCATTTGTAATAATTAGTGTACACCTAGGATAGTACTAGCAGAGGATCACAAAAGCCTGATAGCTATGTACACATGACCATATAAAATGATGCTAATCAAAATGAACTTGATAACATGGAAACAAGAGGTGTTTTTTTATGTTTTATCTTTTGTTTTTTGTTTTTTAGTGTACTGTTTTCAGTTACTTCTTTTGTATTTCCTCTCTCTCTCTTTCTCTTTCTCTCTCGCTCACTCGCTCTCTCTCTCTCTCTCTCCTGGTTTATTCCCTGTGGTCACTGTTTCTGATTTCAGTCCTCTCTGTGTTGTATATAACTTGATCTAATTTGAGGAAGGGAAGGGAATCACAGACACACTGGGACACAGGGTGAATCAATGCGACAGCGAAACTCATGAGACACTATGTTAGAAATGAACTTTACAGTTTGGGGGGAGACGGGAGCCGGGGTGAGGGAAAGTGGGAGAAAATGACGGATGGGATAACACTGAAAAGAAATGTACTCATTACCTTACTTATGTAATTGTAACCCCTCTGTTCATCACCTTTACAATAAATAAATAAATAAATATCCCTTAAAAAAAACAGAATTAGTTCTGGGTTCCTACTAACAAGTCTCTGCAAGAAAAGACTGCAAGAAATTTACTTACCAACTTTTATTTTATATGTATGTCTCCTTTATTTTAAACTAAGAATTTGAATTTGTAAGGTCATGAGGGATAACAAAATTTGAAGATTGTGTAATTGTTAATTGCTTTATTTATACACAGGACAGTCTCAACAAAGAGATACTTTCATAAAGCATATAATTACTGGAAAGGAAAAAAAATCCAATATATCTGCATGTGATCTACTTTCTTCTTTTATCTCTCTATGAATCTGTGTATCTATCATCTATCTGTCATCTCTCTATCATCTATTTAATTATTTATATACATAGCTATCCTATATCCATGTAGCTATCATCTATAATCTATCTTCCTACCTATCATGTATATATTTATGTATGTATGTATCAATCAACTGATTTATCTGTCAATCTATCATCCTTTTTTATTTTCTTTATTTGTTTATTTAAGACCCAACACTGGGACTCAAATTTAGTATCTGACTGTCTTTATTTTTTTTAATCTACCATCCCTCTATCTACCTACCCTTCTACTACCTATAAATCTACCTATCATCATTAGATTTATCCATCAATCTATCTGACTTCTATAGTCTGTCTACCTATCTATCATCTATCTATCTAATCTGTCTATCTGTCATCTATCTAAATGTGTATTACAGTTTTTATATTTTCAGTGGTATACCTTAGTACAGTTATTTTATTCCCTATGGTTCTTTCCTTCCTTGTTACCTCTTTTAACAAAAAAATAATCTTGGTCTGGGTGCACTCCTTTGATCACTTAACATGAAATTCATTTTCCTGAGCATTTAGGAGGAGATATGCTTTAAGAGTATTTCCTTAGCTTCGTTCTCTAGAGCTTTGCCCTCTGTTGTTTTTGTATAATTTTCAAAAATATGACAGCTTTTCTTTCTGAATCTTCCTGGCTCTATTTCCTGTCCTACTTTTTAAATCAGAATTTTAGTACCTCTTTCTGACCTGAGCACCTGCTGCTCCATGTGAGATAAACAACTGGCCAGGCTTCCCCGAGGAGCCTTCATCTGGGCGGACCATTGGTCTTGGATCCAGGTTGCCCCAAAGTCTTTCTAAAGACTCCTCCCACACCCATGCTGTTTTGCTGCTCTGCTGTTACAGAGTCATTATTTCACACCTCAAATGCCATGTTGATTGTAAGCCCTGGAGCTCAAAGGTCTGGCTTGTCTTTTTTTGTTGTTTTTATTGTGAAAATACTGTACAGAGGGGTTACAAATACATGGGCAAGATAATGAGTACATTTCTTATAAAGCATTGCAGCCTCCTCCTTTGTTTACCCTTCCCACCTCTTCCCATCCTCCCATCCTACCCTACCCAATCCTCCTCTACCCTCCTCCCCCCAACCAAAGTTGTAAAGTTCGTTTTTTGACATAACATCTTGTACTTCTCATTTTTGCAATGGGTCCACTTGTATCCTTATTTAAACAGTTTGTTTTTTTCCCTTTCCCTCCACAAATTATAACAACATCAAATACAGTGAAAGCAGGGGTTATACCGTGGGGGAGGGACATACAAAGCAACAAAGAAATAATCTTATAAATGTGTTAGAAACAATCGCATGAAAGAAAAAATTTGAATACATATCTTAGGGTTCATTTCCCTAACATCAACTTATCTGACCTTTTCTGCTTGACTCAGACATATACTAGTTATTGCAAATAAGGGAAACCATGGGACCTATGTTTCTTTGGGCCTGGCTTACTTCACTTAATATAATTTTTCCCAAGCCTTTCCATTTCCTAACAAATGGGCAAATGTCATTCTTTCTGATGGAGGCATAGAATTCCATTGTGTATATATACCACATTTTCTTGATCCATTCATCTACTGAGGGGCATCTGGGTTGGTTCCATATCTTACCTATAGTAAATAATGCTGCAATAAACATAGTTGTGCTGGTAGCTTTAGTGTGGTCTTGTTTGTGAACATTTGGGTAAATGCCCAAAAGTGGGATTGCCGGGTCATAGGGGAGCTCTATGTGGAGTCTTTTGAGGAACCTCCATACTGCTTTCCAAAGTGGTTGAACAACTTTACACTCCCACCAACAATGCAGTAGGGTTCCCTTCTGTCCACATCCCCTCCAGCATCTGTTGTTATTAGAGTTCTTGATTTTTGCCATTCTATCTGGTGTGAGATGGTATCTTAATGTTGTTTTGATTTGCATTTCTTTTATGGCTAGGGAAGTTGAGCATTTCTTCATATGTCTATTGGCCATCCTTCTTTCCTCTTCAGAGAAGTTTCTCTTTAAGTCTTTAGCCCACTTATTTATTGGGCAGTTGTTTCTTTAAGGATTTGTTGTTAGGGGGTTTAATTTTTGAGTTCCAGGTGTATTTGAGATATGAGACCCTTGTCCATTGTATGGCTAAAAAGATATGGAACGCTTCAGGAATTTGCATGTCGTCCTTGCGCAGGGGCCATGCTAATCTACTCTGTATCGTTCCAAGTTTAGTATATGTGCTGCGAAGCGAGCATCTGGCTTATCTTTGATGTCATTGCAAACGTCACTTTTTCTGCTGATCGTTGGCGCTGTCTGCTGAGCTCTTGCTTCGGTTGTCTTCCCGGTTCCTTGCTTCCTGCTGCCTGGATGCTCATCCTGTGCCAGGTAAGTGTCTATCAGTGACGGTCTCTACAGTTCATGTTCATAAAACACATGGTCACCTCGCTTCCTCATAGACATTAAGCATGGACTTTTATTCCAGGCTCTGTTTGCACCGTGGGGGGAGAGGGGGAACTTAAGGAGACGCGGCTTTGTGGCTGTTGTTGCGCCTTCTATTTGGTCAGCAATGTGAAGGTGATGCACCTGTCTTTTCAAGCACAGCACAGTGTAATTCCAGCCTGGAGACTCAGACACACACGTACAATTGTCTACTGAACATTCTCCTTCGATAGGCTATCGTCCTGAAAATCACCAGCTTCCTCCCCAACCATCCGTCCTTCCATGACTCAGTACTCAGGGCATTGGAAACGAAGTAATCATTGACCAATCACAGACACTGGGAGCTCTGAGCTCATCCTTGGAGCCTCTGTCTAGCTTACTCCAACATTCTTGCTTCTAGTCCATGTGCCCATAGTCCTCTGTTCCCATTGCCAGTATCCTAGGTCCTATCTCACACGCGCTATGGAGAAAGCTTCCTGACAAAACTTCCTTCCCCTGAGCATCCCCCTTTCTCTTCACAGAACAGCCAGCATAGTGTGGCCCAAACACTCACTGATTATCTCACTTTACAGTGTCCCAAACGGTACATGGCCCAGATCCTCATGATCTGACATTACTTATGTAATATGTAGCTGTGTCTGCATATATATATAGACACACACATTTGTATGCACATCTGTGCATATATATCATAAAGTATATTCTTATGTGAGATCCTAAACAGCTGCTGGTTCTCCTAAGGTCAAGATATCATAATGGAAAGAACGTACGATTTGGAGCTAGACGCTGGTGGCTCACGCCTATAATCCTAGCTACGAAGGAGGCTGAGATCTGGATGATTGTGACTTGAGAACCACCCAGCCAGAAAAGTCCAAGAGACTCCATTTCCAAAATAATAGCAAAGAAACAAGCTGGAGACACAGAGCTCAAGTAGTTGGGAATCAGCCTAGCAGGTCTCTAGCAAGTTCAAAGCCCAGTACTAACATGCAAACAACCCCCAAACCTCCTCCATTCAAGATTTCAGACACTTTGAGTAGTGTCGCACACGATTACACACTCAACAGACACCAAGACCTGTGATGCTGCAGCTGAAGGCGGCAGATTGTGCTCTGCCATTGTTAGCTTCAGGATTTTGTGTCCATGGATAGAACTTCTCCCATCAAGACAGAAGAACTGGTGCCATGTTGGGAGAGTTAGGAGTGAGAAAGGAGGTCAAGTTCTGGCACAAAGCAGGTGCACACAACAGGTGGGCAGGCTCCTGCCATCATGGGATCATCCATGAGCCCAACGTTTTCTAGCTGTTGCTCTAAGACAACCTCCCTCCCATCTCACTGATGTGTGGATAAGACAGATGCTTTCCTGCTTTCTCATTTCAAGCTTTCGTGTACCTGCAAGTCCACTCTTCAGCTGTGATCGCATCTCTTTTCTGCTTATGGGCAGAAGAAAAAGTATTATGAAACAGGTTAAGGGCTCAAAAATAATGATAAAAGAGCCTTTAGCCTGAGCACAAAGCAAACATCAATTAATGCAGCTCAGGAGAGTGAAATCATGGGGCGGGAGCGGCGAACACACTGCATTGCCTTCAGCTACGGCATCACACTCTGGGTGTCTTGGAATACCTACCGCATCCGTTCCCATCACTCTTAGTGTTGATGAGGAATCCATCCAAATTCCTCTCTTCTAACTAATTTGAGCTGTATCCTTAGCCATAAAGAGACGCAACCATGCTTTCGATGATTGACTAGTATTCCATTGTGTGTGTGGGTGCCACATTTTTAAATCCATTTCTTGATGCCCCTCTTTCTCCATGCTCAACACAAATGGTCATTTTGCTTATGATTCCCTTGCCACTTCTATCTTGTGCTGTTCCTTAGGTGCAGAGTGCCTTGTGTTTCTCCATATATCTAACTATATTTCTTCTTCTCAGGTTGATATGGGTTTGTGACTGCTCTTCTGTCTGCTCGTTAATGCCCTCTGCAAGTCTCCATCTTTAAATTAGTGAGTGGAGATGAGAATACTATCTGCTAGGACAGATAACTGAATGCCTCGTGTTTAAAAATGTAGTTGTGGGTCTGGGAAGGTGGCTCAGTGGTAGAGTGCTTGCCTCACATGCATGAGGCCCTGGGTTTGATTCCTCAGCACCACATAAGCAGAAAAAGCTGGAAGTGGTGCTGTGGTTCAAGTGGTAGAGCGCTAACCCTGAGCTGAACAGCTGAGGGACAGCGCCCAGGCCCAGAGTTCAGGCCCCACGACCAACAAAAACAAATGTAGTTGTGACAATATTAATATTTCAGTATGTCTCCTGTTGACATTGTCTTTGGTAAGACTTTGGGTATTTTGTACTTGTCCTATTCTGTCTGAACGTAAAAGACAGTCAGATGTGGACCTCCAGGAAGACTGGGTGCACTGTTGGAAATCAAGGACAAAACCTGTTTCCTGCCAGTCGCTTGTCCAGCGTCTGGAGAAGGGAAGAGACTTGTGAAACGTTTACTGAACAAATGGGTAGACAGCTGTGCTTCCATAGAGACGAATTCTACATACATGCTGTGGTTTCAGGGCAGCACTGTTCATTCTAAACACGATTAAAAAAGGATTTTTCTCTGTCGTCTTTTCCTTATGACGTGTTTGCTGGCAAATCATCCTTTCCTTGTGCAAGGCAGTCCCTAGACATTGAGAGTTTTTCTGGGGGGGAGGGGATGTGAGATGATGCAGACTTAGAATATCTGGGCTCTCTTGCCGCAGGCCTAGCTTTCACGTGGGGAGTTCGTGTGGCATTGTGGGAGATGCACTGTGGCCTAGGGGTTCCTTGAGAAGCCACAGGCCAGGTGTGTCAAACTCAGAGCTTGAAATGGAGCTGAATATCTTGAGAGAAAACTGCTGGCTTCTACTCAGTTCAGTAAAGCCTCTTAATCTTCGGAGCTTAAGTTATTTCCCAAGAGGTAATGTTGTGATTAGAGAAATAAGGGATGCCCTAAATTATGTTTTTCTTGCAAGTCTGAATTATAGAATGACCCATCACAGCTTGGAAGGGAAGTCCAAAGCTTTCTGTACTGATCAGTACAGATGGAGGGAATCAGAAGGCCCTGGATCTAGCTAGGAGGGGATTTACCTCTGTTTAGGCTTCCAGTGGAAAGCTCTCTACCCAGGGGGTTTGCCGTGGACAGTGGAACATGATCTGCATCCTGCATTTAAGGACTCAGCATTCACTCAGTCTAGCTTATAGGCATTGCTAAGGAGACCCACGCAGGCTCAGTGCACGAGTCTGCCCGTTGCTGCCCCATCAAGCATCCCTCGGATATGACAGATTCACCTTGACCAACCTCCGTGCGGGATGTAGCTGTAAATAAGACAGAAGTGCCAGACCCAAGATGGGCCCCAGGAGAAAGACCTTGACCCTTTCAGCTATAAGATCAGTCATGTTCTCTAGGCTGGGTTTCTATGAGACATAATATCCACCCCCCACCACCATTAAATCCAGATTCTCAGTGAAGTTTTGGTGAAGGTTTTAGTGTGGTCTGTAGACTGCAGCAGACTGTAGAATTAATGGTGAGCATGTTCATGTTTGAAGAAGAAAATAGCTCCCTCTACCTTGTTTCTACTCCTTTACCTCCGTCTCTTCCGAGGCCATTGCTCTAGGCCTGTTGTTCAAGAAAGGGAGTGTTGGAAATCCATTGGAAGGCTAACAGCAAAATCAAAAGCGACTTGTGGCAAAGGAGAGAATAACAAGGACCCAATCACAAGAAATCTTTACCAAATCATTCAACGCTCCATTCAGTCACTGAACTTAGATGTTGCTGTATCTGGCTAACCATGAACTGTGTCTTATTGCTTTAATAACTAATGAAATAGCAGACATGATTGCTTTCATGTGTGTCAAAGTCTTCCGGTGGATTTATTACTACCTTTTGCATTTGTGAAATGAAATACCAATGAAGAAGATCATGTTTCTGGTTTTGAAAATGACTACAGCTGACAGTTGAGAACAAAGGATTCTAAGAGTCTCATGATGATGCCAGAGTCCCTCAAGTTTTAGAAATGAGACAATTCAAAAGACACTGAAAAATGTTAGCCCCAGCTAACAAACTAGTGAATATGTGAAATGGATGGGAAGGAGAAAAACACTTCTGAGAAAAGTTTCTTCTTCCAATTGGATATAAGGTAATTTTTAAAATCTACCCCAAGTACATAGATTCAAAAATAAGGGACTAGAGCTTCAAAAATAAGGGAGAGATCCTCTAAGATAATTCCATGCGTTATTTTTGGTCAGTCATGGGGCTTGAACTCAGGGCCTGGGCCCTATCTCTGAGCTCTATTACTCAAGGCTAGTGCTCTACCACTTTGCACCTAGTGCCTCTGGTGGTCTTTTTTTTTTTAATTGGAGATAAGAGTCTCAGGAACTTTCCGGGCTTTGGACCTCGATGCTCAGATCTCAGCCTCCTGAGTAGTGAGGATTCCGGCGTGAGCTACCAATTCTGGGCTCCATGTAATGTTTGATAGTTACTTCAAGAGAAGGTTACTGGTGTGGTACTACACAATGGTATCTTCTTTTTTAAAAAAAAATTCTACTGTCAAGGTGATGTACAGAGGGGTTATAGTTACAGACATAAGGTAGTGAGTACATTTCTTCCTATCTTCTTCACCACTGGGCTGGTGACCTCTCTCAGAGCAGTGCAAAGGCCATTGGTAGGTGTAGAGTGGTACTGTGGACAGATGGAGGCAATGACATCCAAAGGTGTGTTCTGGAGAAGACGACTCTTTCCTTCCACCCTTCAGGAATGGGTCACCGAGGATTTTTGCTTTCAGCTGCCCCAGGCTG